TAATTTCAGTAATTTCTCCATAAACTAGTATGGACTCATAATAAGTGAGCAACTGACAGCTGTCACTATATCACTATAAGATAAATGTTCCTAGATATAATGAAATAGACAAATAAAAAACAAAACATGTGATGATTTTTTTTATAATTCTTTAAACAGCAGACAACTATTAGCTGTTAATAATAAATGTAAATCAATATCAGAAATACTGTCAGTTCTTACCATTGCTTGTGAAGTGATTGATTCTAAGGTGACCGATAAGGCCCATGGGCCTCTTGTTTCTAATCTTAAATTAATTTTTCAATGTATTTTTATGCACAATATGCGTACCTCAAGTGATTTTGCTTATTATTTTAGATTTATGATCTTTACATTTATTTCCTTCTTTTTTTTTGTTTGATATTTATGTATTTTATACATCCGTCAAATGACAGGACATATTATGGTATTCTCGTCTTCCATCCGTCCATCTTCCGTCCGTATGTCCCTCTGTTCGTAAACATTTCAATGTCCCAGCGACTTTGGAATTTATTAAGCCTTAACAGATTTCTTTTAACTTTCATTGCAAGCTTAAGTACAATCAAAGCTAGATTGAGTTTGATTTCCATGATTTTTGATCCACAACTTTTAGAGTTACGGCCCATTAATGTCTGTAACCTTTTCAATGTCGGTGCAATAACTTTGCAAAGTATTACGCAATTACCATTGAAACAAATGCAATATATTATATACAGCATAAATAGTGTAGGTGATAGTCAGACAAAATCACAGGCGTATTTCGTGACCTGAAACAGGCTCTTGTTTTTTTTTTTTTTCGTGTGACAAATTAAAATGATTGTTCAATATATGAATATTGTCAGCATTCCATTATACCTTCATAGATCCCTATTAGGATAAACTGAAGGGACAGAGCTTGTTTGTTACACTATCAGAATAATGTAAATCACTCATACTGGTGGAGGAATTACAGTGATTCTAGCATTAAGTTGTATGGTTGCCAATTTATTTGCAGATAAGTCAATACCATTATTACTATTGCAGCCATGGTCTTTTGATGGCGTCGTTAACTTCACCTTGTCAGAATATCCTAATGGGGCAATATTTTGTACATCATGTGAGAGAAAAAAAGCATATTTACAAAATTAATAACCAGAAGTAGCAAAATCACAGGGACTTTTCGAAATTATTTTTATTATCTTAATTATCTAGACAAGCCATTGTGGCTACATATAAATATGCAAGTGTTTCTGACTTCGTTTTAAATAAAAAAATAGTTGTGGAGTGATGGCTTTTGATAATGGATATATGTATATCTAGTTTTGATATATGCTTTATTTGACAAGGAATGTCAATTTATTGTTGTTAATAAAGTTACTGTTTCAATTTTGTTGTCATTGGTCCGTTTTTCCTTGGCCCGGAACTATTTCTGAAGGCGTCTATTTGCATCAACACTGCATCGTCATGCCGGTAATTACGGGCTTAAAATAGATTTTCTGTTGACCAATTTCATTTGACAGATTGGATTAAATCCCTAATGCGTCATATCGAGCGTAATAGCTTATTGGATAAATATTTATAGCAACCTATATTGAACTTGGGGAAACCCGTTCGTCCGCCATGGTGTTTCACGTTGTAATAGCAGCAAGCTGCAAGATGAACTCGAGTAATTTTACGGATGTTTCCTTTGATTGCTTTTCATTATAACTACTGGAGCATGCATAAAACATCCTTGTGTCGTTGTCACGAAATGTAATAGATGTAGCAACAACCATTTGTACCTAAACTTTAATAAAAACATGCCAAATGTCGTATCTTTCTAATGGGAAGCCTGTTACGACGGAAATGTGAAGGGGACGTAACTCTTGGCGAACGACTACTATGTTCTGATATGAAATGTTAAATATTATAACGTTTTCTATATTTTTGTTCAAAGAAGTTTTATGAGTCATGCAAAAGTTCCTAAATTCCTAAACTAGGTGTGATACAGTCATTGCAGGCTTTCATTGTGATGTATAACTCTAACAAATAGGCCACTGTTTTCCTCTCTACACTCTATAACTTAATATATCAAATATAGGGCGATGTGTTTAGATTGAGGGGTGTCTTTAAATGTTCATGAGAGATTTGAGCTGATTTGAAGAGTGAGTACTGGTTGTGATTTTTGTGAAACTTGAACAGCTGTGATGTTTCTTCGTGTAAACGCAGGCTAGAGATAGGGTTTTGCAACTATTCTGTTAATAAACTCAGTGATGCTAGCATTGATGAATCTGTTAATTATAAACGGGTTTAGGAGGGCACTGGTGCGTAATTCGATTAAACGGAATTGAAGAGTCTGGCCTTTGTTCAGATTTAAGAGTTATTCACAGGAGGTTCAGTTTTTGCCGAAACCAGAAGTACCTGTATAAGTAAGTTTGCCTTTTTTTTTAACTCCAATGAAACTGTCCCAAAACAAAAAATTCCGAAACAAAGTCATTATTCAATTACAGTCAATAAGAAATATATATGAATATTTATTGACAAAAGTAAACATTGATTGACAACGATGTATCTATAAAGGAATCAATTAACTATGGACGATCTGTACAGTACTAGAATGTTTAATTACCCTTGATGTGTTACATGCCTCGTTAACCTCTTCAATACCACACTAACTACTGGTCTCTACGGTAAGATGCAGAAATACTAATTGGATAGTGTTTTCTTACTAAACATTTGTGGTGGTAAGAAGATATGAAAACGTATAGATATAACTTACCAAACGCCACTTACGGTGAACAAGGGAAGTAACTCGCTTACTAGTGTTGGTACATATTCATAGATGGTCCAAGACGAGTCCACGTATCAATTACATGTCGTTCTCAATATCTATTTAATTATTTAGGGGATAAAATCAGATTTGCTTTGTATCAATTCACTGTGGTTTATATCGTGAACTTGTGTTCTGAGACAAAGTTGAATATTGAATTGTTAAAACCACTGAAAATGACATTATCCCTACTCATTTCATGAAAAAGTCATGTGCCTTTCCGAGCGAGTTTGTCATCTATTCGCTCTCAGCCAATGGAAAACTCTGTCCAAAATTCGATGATGCACAAGAATTATTTTTTCAATGCTTCCAAATGTCATATGGTCAGTTGAATAAGTTGAAAATGCAGAAGATGCTCACTCTTCAGGGACGCCTTGTATAATTATCCTTGTAATTTTTCAAGAGTTCGATGATGGTCCTGTTAACAAGTCAACATTTTCTTTGTTGGTTTCGTACGTAATCCAAATACGTGTCGCATATTCCAGGTGTGGCCTTATTGTGGCATTGAAGAGCGAGATTATCTCTTCTGAAACTTTGTAACTTACCTGCTGTACGTGGATATAGGGAACAGTAGGGAAGAATTATAGTTATGGATTAAAGACTAATAAAGAAATTTTATCTTTTTCTCTCCATTGATCATATTCGATCACAAGTCATGGAGTAGCTAGGTGAACATCAGAATAAAAATTCTGATAACACAGCCAGTAGAAAATTTGAGTGTGACCTTACGATGACTACACGGTAATCTTCATCAGACAAATAACCAGCATGACGCGTATCCAGATGGCCGCCGTTATCAGCCGCCTTAATCAGCCGCCTCTACAGGTTGTTTTCCCGGTCGACTATTTTGGAATTTGGCCAGACAATGAAATGATTTTGCTCTGTGGAATAATTTTTAAGAGCCGACTTATTGATCTGGGATTTGAAATTCTTCTCCTTTCTGATGTTCATTAGGTCGGACCCTAAACCTTCTGCTAATATACTATGTGTCCCAGTTCTTGCACCCAATTTTGTATACACATTCTGCAACGTATTTTATCCTTAGGGTGGACTAGGATATTTCGGACAGTCTTGTGAGGTTTCATGGTTGTTGCAATACCATGGCAACGGTAAATCCTCTGAATGGTTTCTGGCTGGTCTTTGATGAAAAGGATGCCTACCTGTCCTTTCGTTTTGTTCTTTTTCTTCGTGTTTCGTCTCTTAGTCATTTTGCTGACATCAAATCGGTTTTTTTCTTTTTGGATTACCCAGTCAGGGTATCATAATGTTTTTATAGCTCAACGTTGGTTGAGCAAGGTCCGTACATAGGTCAATACTTTGATGGTACCGTCATCTTTGTTTACGCCCAAGGTTCGATTCCTTGAACGGACGTGATAAAGCATAGGACACCTGTCTGACTAGGTATGTTTGCCCGGATATTCCGGTTTCCTGTCACATTCAGACACCTCACGTGCTTATATGCGGACCAACACGAATGATTTAAATAAGTTGATAGTTTGTGTCGCAATTGTAGAATAAATTAAGTTTATATTTATATTACCATCCTGAAGAAAATGTTCTAAAATACGTAAAAAAGTATCAATGTTCGTTTTATATTGTACCGTTCTTTTTCCGTGAAGGATAAAGAGGGAGAGACACCCAATTATGACGTCATGTTTAAGGATTCCACTTATTGACTTTCACGAGAAAGGGGCGTGCTTTGCTAAGTCTGGGAATTTCACATTTCAAGTTGTATACTTGAACTATGTCAGGCAGATTCAAGTATTTTACGTTTAAATACATTTACGGTGAACCCGTAAGAACATTACGTAATTGTGTTTAGACTTCAAATATTTTACATGCATTCACTTCACAGGTGCGATATGTAATTTTTTTTCATGTAATCTTATTGATATTAAGAGAGAGTGATCCGGATTTTCAAGTGAAAGCAAACAAGGACCTGTGACCTACTCACCTGTGCTGACGAATGAGCCAAAATAAGCATGAAAAATTCCACGCAGTTACACGTGAACACTTTAACAAGCAATTGATAATATTAACTATGTAATCGCGAGGTTGTCAGAATAGGGGGAAGAGGAAGGTGACACTTGTTGTTTATCTTTCATATATAAGTATATCTACACTTATATAGCTGATACAATTCATAGCTGAGTACTTCCGCGCACATGCACACACGTAAAAATCGTGACAACGAAGACTCCTATGGACGTACATCTCAACCATTTACCAATGAAAGGTATGTAGACTTATCAAATGGTCATCCGTATTTAAACTATTGTTACGATGTAACGCAATGTGTGACCATCGTACCACGTGACATTTTGTCTACATTGATATTAACCAGTATTCGTTGAATAGTCCCCTGGTTTTACAGGGTAATTACCTCGCGCGAGGTGCGTGTGTAATATAACGAACAGGATATCGTTGGTATCTTGATATGAAGCACAAAACCTCATTCAGTTATAAACGCTATTATGCTAATATTCAGTGTTTTTAAAAATCATAAAGTAATTTGAAAGCAAATTAAACATCTGAATAAGAAACTTGAGGTGTGTATATTTACAAGGGTATACATAGATGATATGTTCAGTAAGTTTACAAAGCTTTTTTTTTTTTTTTTTTTTTTTTTTTTTGTTTGTTTGTTTAATTTACTGCAGTTTACAGTTGTATATACATTTAAACAGTGTAAGCTTTCTCTGTATATGACTAGAATTATGAAAATATAAGTGAAAAACACTTTCAATGCGCCATATATATTCCTATGTTCCTATATTGATATTCTGAATATGACTTAAGTATTTGGTATTCGTACTGACACTAGGTTCACTTCACCTTTATATTTAAACATTAGATTTTTAACTTAAGATTTTAGTTCTCTTTTACTTCATCTACCTCCCAACAGTTCACAACAGTTTTTCTGCCAAAAGCAAATTGAAAAAAAAAAATGTGTTCAAAAATATATTTAAGCGAGAAAAAGACAATTTAAAGGCACACTTCAGACGTCTTGAAGGAAATAACAATATAACTGTATACCCAATTAGATTTCTACGGTACAGCCACTCAATGCAAGGAATGAACATCTGTTAAAGATAAAGACATGGAAAAACAATTATCTATCACCTGCTCTCTCTCAGGTCGTCAGGTGTTGTAAAAAGGAATGTTAATAACACGACAGCAAAGCAGGAAAAATTCCAGGCGTGTACTTGCCACTACGGTCTTTATTAAACTGAAAGAAAAAAAAACCCGTAAATTCTTCACAAAAAGAAGTATTATCTGTTTTGGATTCTGACACAGTTGTCATAGGAAACCACTGGCATTTTGGTTTTAGACATCTTTGTTATAGGAAACCACTGGCATTTTGGTTTCTGACATCGGTGTCAGAGGAATCATTGACACTTAGGTTTCTGACACCGTTGTTATAGGAAATCACTGACATTTTGGTTTCTGACACCGTTGTCATAGGAAACCACTGACATTTTGGTTTCTGACATCGGTGTCAGAGGAAACCACTGGCAATTTGGTTTCTGACATCGGTGTCAGAGGAAACCGCTGGCAGTTTGCTTTCTAACATCGTTATCATAGGAAACCACTGATATTTTGGATTTGACATAGCTGTCAGATGAAACCACTGACATTTTGGTTTCCGACATCTGTTTCTAAAAATCACTGACAAAAATGACTTGTTTTATTGTATAATGTCAAAGCTGACAGGTCGTTTTAAGAAACACTTATAAGGGTGATTAAATATATGACAGCTCATATAAAACAGCACATTGTACGATATAAAATATATACCTCCTCATGACTGATATGCAACATATGTAATTCTTATTGCCTTCATGTACCTATATCTGTGTGACAATGATATATGATCGGTACAACCTGGGTCATCAGTAATAGGTAAATATACAAGCGCTTCAATATTAAATTCATACGGGTTGAAATTGACGTAACATATTAAAACATTTTTATCTGTAATTAAATACATTATAATTCTGTTTAAAATTAGCGATTGAATATTTCATTTCGTCAGTAGTGTTGGACCTACAGGGGCAGGTAGTCTTATGAAAATATCGTTTCAGTAACAGGTGATTTAAAGTTATTTGTTATATAGGTCTGTGTATTGATAAGTAATTACACTGAAATATACATGTATATACATGTACGAAATGAAACATTTTGTTTACGATACATGTAAGTGTACTTAAAAGAAAAAAACGAAACTCCAGTCCATTGAATTTTAAAATAATGTATTCAATACATACATTGTACTGTAAATTTCAGTATTTATTTGATGAAGAACATGCGTTTTAAAAACTAATTAAATGTCTTCAGTATCCAGTTTTGATATTCTTTCCTCAAACGCCATATGTATATGAGGTAAAATTTTAGTTCCCGGAAAAGGTACAGTTTTTGCTAGAAGAGCTATGTGCTTCACTGTAAATGAAATGCTACATATCTTTGAATATTTGAAAATGAAATATTGGAAGAGACGACAGAGACGTTTCATGTGGTCTGACAAGATCTACAAATAAAAAAATACATATTTATTTTGACAATCGAGCAAAATAGAGTGATAAGGATGCGTTGATACAGGAAATGTCTACAAGTGTGCAGTATGCGAACGTTTAGTGAATTCTGAACATTAACCTTCTTTGAGATGGCGATAGGTTCGGAAAAAAACAACTTTTTTATGTTTGTTATATCTCTTTCTGTAAAAAACGGTTTTCAGGACAAAACTTTGGAAAATGTGGTCCACGGCGCTAGCGAATATTTCAGGCGAAATAAGTTTTTCATGCATGCAATGGATGGCACATTCGTGCTGGAAAATTATCGCCATTCTGATTTTAGCATGACGTAGTTCGACCATATGACGTCAACTAATTGTGACGTCATTTGTGTTACGTCTGCTAGTGTTATCGGAATTGAGATGTGCAGGATGATTTCTGCGTACCCCATCCTCTGTGGCACTCAAGGCTTGACGATATGTGATGAAGCTTAATGTTTAAGAGGTCTGTATATCAAAACTCATACAACGTGAGGTCTGAGGTAGTGTAGTTATGCCTGTTTAAACTGACTTTGTTGGTGATGTATATGATGGTGTTCTTTGTGTTATACAGGCTAAATGTTTATATGTACTGTTCACCCTGACGTGGATAAACACACGTGATTAAGTTGTAAAAAACAAACAATAACTAATGAGTCAATTTGATATGACCACGATGAGAGTAAGAAAGATATAAAAAAAACTCATACATTCGTTGTTTCATGGTGTATCACAGTAATATTATATTCACCGGGAAACTAAATACATTTGAAAAAAATGGATGATAACTGATATATGTAATGAAAATACATATATCAGTATACTGTAATTCGTTGTAATCTGAATGCATTATTAATGCAATACTACATTTTACTATCTGTTTCACAAAATCTCACAAATAGTATGATCCAAGGGAAAACAAACACTAGGTATGTTTCAGTAACGTGATATTAAGGTTTCCGTCTATTAAGTAGTGTGGGTAATATTAAACACCAATTACAATTGTTTTACCTCATAATTATGGTTATGTTTTTTAGTAGATATGGAATCATTCTGATGACTACATGCACGAGCAAAACGAACCTCGTTTTGATATCTTAATAATGATACGAAATGTAGATATATGAGTCAATAATGAGTAATTCTGGCTGCAGTGTGAGTTTTTTGTACATAAGGTACTCATTAAGATTTCTAGAATATCATTTTTTCCAGTTTTATTATTTATTAAATAATAACTAATTAAGGTGCACCCAACATGTTATATGCTGTAATATCCCTGATGTTCTGAGCTCACAAAACTTATGGAAATCTTATTTCAGAATACAGACTTGTATTGAATTTCACGTAGGCTTGTATTGAATGAGACAAGATGGTTTTGTGGTTAGTTGAACGTCTGTCCATCGAAGGGTCGTTCGTTCGTCTCTCAGGAAGTACTGTACACAATGTTACATCATTAGACATGCTACTTTATCCTGCCAGCTTCCGTAAACATCACTGTAAACAAGTACAAAGTTGGTCCATGTTTAATAGAGCAGAAATGAAGCTCCGACAGATTTTAGATGTACCGACAACACAATGCACCATTCATGATGAGCTAAGTTACTCCTGTTACACGAGAAATAGGCCAGCACGTTCACTTATATTTGTTTATCGTGGCCAGGTCTATAAGACTTGTTAACTTACAAACAGGGTTAAAACGAATACAAAAGAAAATTGTATGTAAGTTTTCATATTGATTGCTGGATGTCAGAACTTTACTACTCATATAAGAATATTTAAAACAAACCTTATCAAATTATCAAACGATAGACGGAAAATATGACTAGTTAAAATGTTGACTCAGAGTCTCGCCCATTCGGCGTGAATGCTGACTCAAGTAGGCCTAGTTGTCGGTAAGGAAACAATAATGATTGCTACCGCCCTTCGCATACGATAGCTAAATATTATGTCACACACCATTACGCCCCCTACACCTACTTACGGACATTCCCTTTCTCTTAATCACCAACAACCTTTGCGAAGTAGCAGTAAAGTTATCGATCACTCAGTTCTAAAATTCTACTGTTAAACCTTAATACACTTTCTGTTTATAAGTTATTTTTAGAAGATGAAGCAATACAGGTAATATCCCTATATAAACAAGTAGATGGAAACAGATAAATTGGATCGCAATTTATCGACTACTTTAGTACAAATATACGTTACACTCTCGATATTTCTTGTTACTCAATACTAGGGAAAAGTTTAGAGTGAAAGTGTGCTGGATAACTGCCCCTTTCTTACCTTGAATACTGTAAATCGCTTATTTCAAAATATTGGTACATAAACAGATGTTTACTGTATACTTTCTAAGATTTATTTAAAAAATACGCAAATAATTTTCTTTGAATAATACGTGCAATATATATATATCGACAGAAAGCTTGTTGATATAACGTTAAATAACGGGTATTTTATAATTTCCCGTTTAATATCAATATATATTCTGTCATATGAGTGAAATATACATGATATTAAACAATTTTTTTTTTATTTTTTTGAAAGAAAACAAAATGAAAACAGGCCGATACAAAACATAATTAACATCAGATAGTTCGATGTAACGCTTGACAACAAGACGACGTTTTTTTTTTCAATTGGTTTACGTTGCATTTTACGCTGTAATATTTACAAGGACTATCAGCTTGTCA